CTTCCTGTCTCTCTCCACCTGTCAGGCCCCACACTTCCTGTCTCTCTCCACCTGTCAGGCCCCACACTTCCTGTCTCTCTCCACCTGTCAGGCCCCACACTTCCTGTCTCTCTCCACCTGTCAGGCCCCAGAGAGTCCTGAAGACTTTAAATTCATGAGAAATTAGCTTCTCCTTGCATATGAATATAGCGCAGTGTATGGCGCAGAGTAAAATTTGATGTCTTATTGCAAGGGTCTCTGAGTTCTTGTCTTCCGGAAGGAAAGAATTTAGCCGTGAGTCGCTAACTGTTCAAGTGGTTTATTTATCAAAGCAAGCATGTCACAGAGACATTGAAGTGAACTGTCCCACAGTGGGCAGGCAGCCTAGCAGGCTCCACAGATAGGAATGAGGACTTAAGCCATTTGTGAGACTCCTTTGTCCAGGCTCTGCCCCTCTGCAGTCCCTGGACCAGTGCTAGAAGTCATCACATTTCCGCGAAGAAAGCCGGCTTTTCTTAGCGCTGACTGTAAAAGCACACTCGTGTGGAGATGCTTTTGTTCTCAAGATCTGTGATGCAGAATGAGAACCACAGCGTCCACCACATTTCTACATTCAGAAGATTAGTTTCTTTGACTTTTGATGTTTAAAATGGGGTTTGGACCACTTGTCATTTTAATGCCCAAATTGTACCCAGGTCTTCCAGAGGCCCGCTTTGGTTTGGGAACACCGGAAAAGAATGCCAAAGCAGAACCCAAAGTGGATGGGGGCTGCAGGTCTCGGAGCTCCTCCAGCATTCCCACCAGCCCGAAGCCCCTCCTGCAGTCCCCCAAGCCCAGCCCAGGAGCCCGGCCGTCCATCCCTCAGAAGCCAAGAACTGCCTCCCGACCTGGTAAGGGCACTAGTGGTCTGGGAGTCAGGCTGGGCCTGGTCTGGCTATAGCCACAGGTGGTCTCAAGAGTAGTTAGAATGTGGTAGACTCATTGGAGGAAAAAATGAACATAGGAAGCTGGAAGAGGAAAACACATGAAACATGCAGGAGCTGAGAACTGGGGAGGGCTAAGAGAAGAGACTCCTGTCGGTCAGGAAAGCCAGTCTGGGCATGCTGGCCCATCAGCAGAGGCAGACTTCTAAAATCAGTCTCCAGGGTATTCAAACTGTGTACACGGCCAGTTTGTGTGGTTGTACACCATGTCCTGTAGCATATCAGAGATAGAGAACAGAATTTGGCAAGCTGTGGGCCTGGTTTGAATTAAGGTTTCCTCAGATGGTGCAAGTGTTGTTCAGGCGCATTGCAGATGTGGTCGAGTATGCTAGGTACAGACTGGGTCCTCGTGGCTTCCAAGTCCAAGAGACTTAGCCTTCGGCCAGATACAAAGGTGTTTGCCGAGCTAAGGTAGAAGGTCTTACAGAAGAAACTTAAAAATACTAAGAATTGGTTGGGTTCTGTCTTATTTTCTTATGCAAAAAAAAATATGTCTATATCAAGTCTTTGAGAAATAATTGTGAGAATTTTCAAAACATCAGAGTTTGAGAGGACAGATAAACCTCTCCTCCTCTTCTCCATATTTCCCCGGGAGGGTCGGAAAGCAGGGTAGAGAGGCAGCCAGTTCTTTGCCATCTTCATCATCACCCTTGTTATTTATTGCCTTTCTCTTTATGCTCCAATTGGCAAGCTGCGGCAGGAGAATAGGTATGAGTTTGCAGTTAGCCTGGGATACACAGTGAGTTCTAGGCCAGCCTGGGCCGCAGGGTGAGACACAGTGAAGACAGACTAAGGAAATGAACAGCAGAGAATTGTGAATGAAGGCTTGATGTTTTTCTGAGCTCTATGGGTTTCTAGTTTGAAGTAAGCAACTCTGCTCTACTTCATGGAGAAGCTCAGTTGGCCAGTTCCCAATATCAAATGTAAAGCTGGCTAGAGTCCTTTTATTTTTTCACTTTCAGCTGTGCTGTTGATCTCATTGTATATTTTATATCAAAACTTAGGCTCATAAACTGATAGGTGTTTTGATAAAGCTTGAGGATTCAGCAGTATTTTTAAATGTTCCTCTTCAGGACAATTCTGAGAGATGATGGAGTCACTGTGTCTGGTCATAGCTTCACTTCTTTGGTGGCACAAACAGGAGACTAGAAGTGAGAAAGACTGAGGAGAGCCTGCCTGTCGGCTGTCTGTCCTTCACACATGTGTACACACACGTACACACTTGCTTGAGAATCCCACACGCTGAGGAAGAAGGGAAAGGGCCCACCCAGTTCCTTAAGTTCTTTTGATTTTGGTGAAGCAATGCTGGCTTTCCGATAAGAGCCTAAAATCCTAATCCCTACTGTCTTTACACCCTTTTAGTCCAGAAGATCATTTAATCTCCTTGTGGGTCCAGAAACCAAAGTCCTTGATGGGTCTAAAAGTCCATGATTTCAGATTACTCCTGGGGCAATGGATTCTATGCTGGTAGCTACATGAACGTGTGTGTGTGTGTGTGTGTGTGTGTGTGTGTTGTGACTTACTAGCTCTGACAACTGATAAAGATATTATGTTACATATAGTACATGTTTTCAGACATTCAACAACTTTATGTCTGCAGCGGAAGGAACCTGTGGTTCACTCCTAGCCTCATTTTCAAGCATTAGTATAGACTGAGATCTGTACATATGTCAACTTTTTATAATTGTCCTTGCTTTTTTTAAATTGATTGTTCTTAAATGCCAATTACTTCTCTTAGCAGAAATACAGAAGGAACTTTTGACTAGAAACATTCTATGATAGTTTTTCTCTATTTGAGTCACCTGTATGTAAAGGTTTATCTGGCTTATATGCTTGGGAACACAGTTTGTAGAACAGTTTGTTTTGTTTCTTTGTACCTCTGTAGAAGATCCAGACTCTCCATCTGGTCCTAGTTCCCCTAAAGTTGCTCTTCTTCCACCCATCCTCAAAAAAGTCCCCTCAGACAAGGAGCGTGATGGCCAGAGCAGCCCTCAGCCCAGTCCCAGGACCTTTTCCCAGGAAGGTAAGAACATCTTTCCTCTGGCTCTATTCACCCCAGAGAGTGTCATTTCAAAAGGAGGGGACTTAGTCCCAGACTAAACTAGAAGCCTGGAGTTCGTCAGAATCCCTTGGGTTGACTATGGGAACCAGAGTGGGCTCTTGATTTGGCATTATGTCTGACATTAGGACTTCATGAAGAGAAGTCAAAAAATATAGCTGAGCCATCTCACCAAAGCCCCACCTTCTCCACAGGAGTGATTACTGCATACTTCTCAGCTAGCTTACAGCCTATTAGGGCACAATTTTGAATAGGTTTCTAGATCCCATTATTTCTAAGGAAAGCACCCCTAGTTAGCTTGCCACCATTGCCATGGTTCAAGGGCCATGGGGACATTAATTTTGCCATCTTTGCCATGGATAAGGAGCAGGCCATCTGCCCTCAGGAACCTCGAAGCTGCAGTACTCTTTGGGTCGTGAGTAAATGTTCTGCCTTCTCGGAGTGTGGTCCCCGTGTAGACACTCCCAGGGCATCTCTGCACAAATGTGTTCCCTCCAGTTCCCTGAGGTGGGAATGGTGGTTGCCTGCGATTTGCTTGCTGCCCTTCAGGAACAGACTTGAGCCCCCAAACAGGGGTAAGGCAGGCCAGGGTAACAGTAGCATCTTTGATGTTTCTTTCATCTCTCCCGCTTATTTTAGGCTCTGTTATGTCATTTCTTTATTTTTAGTTTTATTTTGAGGCAGGGCTCTCTTGATGTAGTGACGTGCCTGAAACTCACTATGTAACTTAGACTGGCTTCAGTCAAATTCACGGTAACTCTCCTGCCTTTGCCTCCCAAATGTGGGGATTATAGGAGTGAGTCACCATGCCTGGCCTCCCCGATTTCAAATGCACAGCTGGCTTTTGGGTTACGTGTCACACAGGGCTGCTTCTGCACTAGATACGTGATGTAAGAGAGCTCTTAGCCCCCACATGCAGATCCTGGCTGTGCTTTGGGCTGCACTGTTAACATTATATTTGTTTGGTGAATTCTGTTACTTCCCTGGCTCTGATATCTCCTGTTTTCTCTTCTTAGCAGTAGTTGGGTAGAAGCTAATCGTAGGCACAGCTGCCTATTATCCTTATGTGTTAGTGGGTCTAATAAAGACAAATAAATAATACTTTTTTTGCTCTTCTGTCTCCATTCTGCAACTTTATTTGTTAGGTGGAAGTTTCTCTCTCTTACTGTTTATAGAGAAAAGAAGGTGGGGATTTGCCTGAAGGTGTTAAATACTTTTGTCAAAGAATCCAAAAAGGGGTCTGGTATCAATTCTCATTTCACAACGAGGGGATAGATGCTGTACTTGGTGTCCTAGCCACCGCTTTAGCACGAGCCAAAATTTGAGTGACTTCACTCTCACAGTGACCTACACTGTTAAAGAACCTTTCATCATGATCTTCAAAGCCACCTCGGGCCCCGAGAGCCCCTCACAGCCAGGTTGCCCATCCAGCTCCTTCCCAGTGGCACCCTTGCTGTCTTTCCTTCTGCAGTTTCTGGCGTTTCCTCTTAGCTTTTAAGGAAGCTTTGAAAATGCCTGAGAGGATTTTAATGGGGGGGGGGTGATGTGTGGAAATAGTCATCTTGTTAAAAACGATTGAAATGTGGAAGAATTTACACAAAACAGGGTCGGTGGGGGGCCAGAGAGTTGAGTTTAGTACATTTCTGATTAGCATAACTTTTAGAAAATGATACCTGCTTGGAAGCATCCAATCTATAGCCCAAGAGCCATCTGAGTTTGGCTGAGGACAGATATGACTCTGGCCCAACCCAAAATGATAAGCTAACTTTAAGCAGTTGTGTTTTCAGCAGGTGTTTGTAGGGTTGGGGTTTTAAATTTTGTTTTGTTTTTAACTAATAGCTGATAGGTGATCAAAGCTATTGGGAGGAGGAATGTGTCCTGGAGCCTCTGGTGACAACACAGGTCGCATAGGACACTGCTGGCCAGGTCAGAGCTGTTGTGAAATGCAAAGAATTCCAAATAAGGGAGCCGTCGCTCAAGAACTAGTGGTGCTTCATATGCTTGTCTAGCATGGGCTGATTGAAACTACAGAGCCCGGGGTTGCTTTACTGCCTAGACCAGAAAGGAACTAGCCACACATCACAGTACACTGCAGTGATGGCAGGCGAAAATACACAAGGTCTGGGCACAGCTTTCAGGCATTTGGGGGTTAAGATTTTGACTTCGGCTTCTCAACTAGCTGGTCTTCAATGGGAGTGGAAGACACGGCAGCCACTCATGAGCCCTGCCTTTCTCTTTAGAAGCCGTCCCTATTGTCTTTTCCTGTTGTACATTATTTATGCTGGTTACTTCATTTCCTTGTTCTCTGCCTCCCTCTGGACTAGCGTGCCCAACTAATTTCTGAAACAGGTAAATGACTGTAATTCTTCCGGATTATTTCATAGTGTATGTGATTTTTGTTAATCCATCGTGGAATCAAAATTGTAAGGCTGGGGCATTTTTTGTTACTAGCTCTCTGGGGCAAGATCAGGACTCACCTCATTTTGCACATTTCCATAATGTTGGCTGTTGAATTCTGTAGACAACTGTGGATCTGCCCAGGACTAATAATATGCTTAAGTTCTTGGAATCCTAACTCGGGGTGGATAAGCTGATATTTAAGTTTTAATATAAATAATTTTAACGTGGATGTCGACACATTGATGTATTTGCTACTATAAAGGGTAAAACGGATCCCTTTTCCTTAGTAGTGCAAAGAGGAGATTATTTCAAAAGACATTCAGATCATGACAGTGGCAAGCCTTCCAGTAGAGGGAAAAGATCTTCAAAACCCTACTCCACCATTGCGGAAGAGGAAGTGAATGCACCTGGGTACAGGAAGTCACAGCCAACAAATGGTTAGAGCCTTCGGTTTTCATCCCTCGCTGACCTGAAGCTGATGAACTGGCACTAACAAACGAGCTTTAATTGAGTAACTGCTGTTGAGGGCTGGGTCAGAGACTTCATAGAACTGAATTCTTATTCTACCCGGCAACAGGATGGTCCCTGCATGGGGAGGTGGGAGAATATTAAGTCAAAATCTAAAACTAGACAATGGGGAGCTTCAAGTTACCTTAGAGGTTTGTCTATTCAAATTTTAGTGAGCATAAAAGTTAATTTTCATATTGGGGTCATAGCTCTCATTCTCTTCCTTTCTACATTTTTTTCCCATCAAGTTTCCATGAGTTAAGCTAGAAATTCATAGAGTGGTAGAGAATAGTTGCCCACAGAACATTGATCTAAGATGGAACCCAAACACTGTGTTAAGGAAAGATCAACAAGAAGCCCCCAGCAACATGCAGACCTTGAATTACATACATGACTTTTCAGGGAAAGTTTTCCATCTTGAGAGGCAGGTCACTGTATTGGCCAGCACTTGCTTTTTCTGCTCTGTCTTCCATCAGATTATGTGGCAAATTCTCCTCAGATGAGAGCAGTTCCAGGGGACAACTACGGAAAGACGCCAGTCAGGTGGCGCCCTCTAGGTGGTTAGAGCCTGCACTGCTGGCATAGGGAAGATGCCTTCCCATGATTAGAGTGCAAGGAAAACAGCATAGCAGAGAACAAAGAATGTTCCTAGCTCAGCGACCACAGGAGATCTCCTCAAAGGACGCCTGCCCTTGGAGGGAATGAAGCGCTTTGCTTCCACAAAGCTTTATCACAGGTTAACATGTGAGGGTATTTAGATGTCTGGGATCAGGCATGAGGTCAATATTTTAATGTAGTGGACACGATGACCTTCATTTTCCTCTGAGTATTCCAGAATCCAAGTTGATGAGAGTGACCTTATGACAGGGAAAACTTATTCTTAGGGAACTTGGGGACGGATGCAAGTCTCACAAAGACCCTACCCATTCATCACCAGCAAGAGCATCCAGGGCCTGGCTTGTGAGCCGGTGCTATGAGAGGCTCCTATGGCTCTTTCCTGTTGCTCTGGAATTAACGAGCTGGATAATAGGTGGAGTTAAGGGATGGCCCACCGCACAAAGCAGGAGTAACAAGTCATGTACGGATAGAACATTCATTCTCTTTGGACCAAGTAGCATCTGTCCTGGAGAAAATGAATAGAATTGGTCCTTTGCTTTGAGTGGATGTGGTGGGTGGATATGGTACTCAGGATGGAATGTAGGGCCTTACAACTGCCTAACAGACTCTGTGCTGCTCGGCTGCCTTCCACACGTGAACTTTGCTCTCAGCTGATTCCCTGTGTCTTTATCACAGAGCTGTAAAAATACTTCTCTTTCTAAAAGATGCAGTCTGATGTTAACAGAACAGAAACAACTCTTAATTTCATTCATAGGAAAGTCACATCCGTGAGTAGCTGCAACATGTGTGAAGAGCCAAAGAGTTATTTTTCTGAAACTTAATAAGACAACAAATCTACTCTCTCTTTCATTAAGTACAGTTGAGATTACATGGATGTTTCTAGATCCTGGAAATTTGTGTTTTCAACTCTTAGAGCCACTGATGTACATCTCTCACTAACAAGGCACACGTGGTGCAGAAATAAGACCCACTAAAAGCGCTTACATAGCACTCAGGATGCCCCTCCCCTAGGCACATCCGTCTGCCAATAGGACATTGAGTTAAAGGGGATGGTTTGCAGGGATAGGCCAACTCCCAACAGTGAGAGGAAGCCCTGTGTCGATCTCTGACATTCCTGCAACCTCGAGGAGTTAGGGAGTTACCATTCTCCTTGTCATGGGTTGGGTCAAATTTTGGTAGGATTAAACGGGACCATCTTGTATTAGCTCTTCTACCTTGATTTCTTGAAATCGGGAAACCCCAAAATTTTCACAGGTGCTTCAATTAAAGTCATTGACGTCTAATATGTTTGTTTTGTTAGTGCCTATTCTTCTCACGTTGCCTTCACCTTTGAGAACTACGTAGCCTCTGCTTTTCGAGTAGTTTCTGGTTAGTTTGTTTTTAATGCGTTACCAAAGCAATTGACAGAAACGTGGTGTGAACTCTCAAGTCTTAAGAACAATCTTGTGATACTGATCCAGCTTTCTCAATTTCCCACGCCTTGTACTCATGAAACAAATGGCAGCTGTTGTTCTCAAAGCGTGCTGCGTATTTGATCATGGTTGACCTGGTTTTAATGGTGTGGCTGTTTAGAGACTGAGTTCATGTCCTCTCCTCTCTGAGTGTAAGATGTGATATTTTTATTAGCAAATATCCTATTTTCTTGAAGAAAATAGCTGCGTTTGTGTGGCTTCATTCGTGTCGCAGAGCTTTCTATCTGTGCCATCTGACTCTGGGAGTCCCTTTCTTATCCCTTGGTGCTTCTGTCGTCCAGCGTGAAGCCGAGGACGCATGCCTGGTCTCACAGTCTGTGAACTAGTGCTCGGCTCAACTTCCTTCCCCCGATCCAGATCCAGGTTCCCCTTCCTGCGTGAGAATTCTACAAGAGCAGATAATTGTAGTGTGCACACCTACTATCCCAGCCCTTGGCAGGTAGACGCCGGAGGGTCTAGAGATCAAGGTCATCCTCAGCTACAGAGAGAGTTGAGAGGAACAGAAAACTCTGTCTCAAAACAAGAAACACAGTTCTTCAGGAAAAATTTAGCAGTTGCTTGAGATTTTCCAACTATGCTGGAAAGAGTTTTTTAAAAGCAGGGCCAGCTATAGATTATTATGTTAAGAAAATGCCCTGTTTTCTCTTGGTAGATATAAATCTGCCTGGAGTTTACAATGGGGAGATCATTTCCAAGTTGCATCTGAATCTCTAATCCCACATCTGTATGTGTATTTCAGAGGGTTTGAAATTTGCATATATACATATGCAAAGTTAAATCTTTGTGTTTGGGGCTCTCTGCAACATTTATTTACAAACAAGTTGTAAATATGCAAGCCAGTGTTTCCACTTAATAAGTTAATGTTCAATCCATATCTTTTATTCATCAATAGCACATGGGTTGATAATAAATACATGTATAGATAGATAGACTCGTCCACCAGGACACCTTGGCATTCTTAACCATATTACATTGGAGGAGTTTAATCAAACGGTATGTTTTGTTTTGTTTTGTTTTGTTTTGTTTTTACCTTGTTTTAAATCAAGGTGCAGGAATAAGTTCGAGTAATTAGTGAAAGTCTAAATTTTATAATATTTTTAAAAAATTAATTCTGGACTTTTAAGTTTCAAGCAGGCATAACTCTATTTAGACACTCCTTTAATGGAAGCCTGACAGAATCTGGTTCTATAGAATTGTAATTAGCATCTTAATTGCATGCAATCAAATAGATGTTCCCTAAGGGCTGGAAATTGACACAGTAAAGATCTCTCTTTCTACAAAGCTGTTTGCATCAAAGATCAGGACTAAGCAGGCTAGAAGACCAGTTGAGTGCTGAGCTTGGTTCAAGTGTTAGGTGAGGTTCTTCCTGCCTGTTTCCAACAGTAAGGACATGCCAGCTGCCCTAGGGTCCTTAGCACATGCAATCGTAACTTAATTATTGGAGGTGAATGTGCTTAGGATGAAATTTACCCCAGGGGTCCTCAGGATCAAACCCGAGGCCTCACACAAGCTCCACCCCTCTTGTAGAATGCTTTGTTGACGTTTGAAATTGGGATATTTCCCTCTTAGTCATCGCCTTGGTTAAACGGTAGTTCTTACTTTTACGGCGCACTCTGACTGTGCTATCCACTCGAAAGGAGCAGATTAACTTGGTGATATTTGCTCTTCCCTCCTCCCTGCTACCCCATTTTGCTGCCCCCACAGTTCCCTAACCTGGAGGACTCAAAAACTCAGTAGCAGCTTGGAAGGTCAGTGCCTTTGCTGTAGATGAAAACACAGGCTGCCTTTTCCAAGAAGATGCCCATATTGTGTCCCTCTAAATTTCACTCATGGTTGCTGTTGTGGTCCTGGTCCATAAGGTTACTTCTGCTTTTACCTGCGACCAAAACTTTTAGTTACACGAGTGTCTCCATATTTAGAGAGTACTTTTGTGTCATCTTATATAAGGTGGGTTTGGCCTGAGTTCCCAGGAAGCTAAAGTATCAGGAAGGATGAAAAGTTTGATTATTCCCTGAATCTAGGGTCTCAGATGGTTTCTCTGAAGAGAGATGAGCATGACCCCCTCCCGCACCCTGTTTATCTTCCCTTGAATCTCCCATCGCAGTATTAGACATTTCTTCCCATTTGTCTGTTTGTGAAGAAACGAGGTTTTGTTTTAATTAGAATGCAGAAGTTCTAGGAGACAGCTCAAGTCCCCTTTACTTTTGTGGTTGGATTTCTTGTCAGATATTCTTGGGATGGTATTGGAAGTATTCTCTGCCCCCTTGTCTTAGCACACACTCAGACTGTAAGCTTAAAGGACTCTGTGGATGTCAGCATCAAATTGGTTTTGTGACGAAGGGCAACATATTTAGGGACATTTATTTATCTTTTTTTCCCCTCCAAACCTGACTTATCAACAGCTTTCAAAGGACCAATCACACAAGTAAAAAATTTTTATCCCAATAAAAGCTTTTAAAAGCAATTGTATCTGTTCCTTATATCCCCAACCCCCTCTGAGAATTTGCCCTAAACCACTGGTGAAAAGAAGTCAGAAGTTTAAGGGACTGGAGAAATGGCTCAGTACAGTTAGTACTATAGATGGCAAGAGTGCTTCTTGCACCCATTATCAGGTGACTAAACCCAGCTGAGAAAGTCAGCTGCTTTATAATTCAATTACTTGATTTTATAATGAGATTGAAAAGGCTGTTTGTGGGTCTCCGCCCTTCAGGATTTAGTGTAATTTCAATTTAATGTCTTTCCCAGAACTGAAGACTGTGTTCCTGGTTGGGTCTTCTTCTTGAGTGACGGATTAGTTGTGGGTGTTTTTGGTTTTTTTTTTTTTTTTTTTTTTTTTTTTTTTTTTTTTTTTTTTTTTTTTTTTTTTTTTTTTTTTTTTTTTTTTTTTTTTAGCAGCTTTCCAAGTTTGGTGTTTTTAGCTCAGATGGCATCTCCTCAGTAGGCATGGGAGTAATGTTTAATAGCTTTATTAAATATCCCTGGAGTTTAGCCTCTGAACTGAATCTTTCCCAGGTGTGGTGGCAGAGGAACCAGGATGCAGAGAGAAAGAACACAGGCTTTAAAGAGAAAACTAGACAAAACCTACCTGTGTGATTAGGAAGAACACAGGCGCATGACCAAAGCCAGGTCCAGCTGTCCTGTGACCCCTTCCAGTTCCGTATCGCCAGTTCCAACAGACAACAGGAGTGGGTGCTTTGCTGCAGGGTTGAATCTGTCACAAGCATTATTTAATCCCTTGTCACAGATTTTATCCATAGGGAGTGAGGCATAGGCGTTCTGAAGCACAGGACGACAGGTCCGTCTGCGTTCCTCCCCCACTGCAGGAGTAACCAGCTTTCGGGCTCTGCAGAAGGCATGGCATTAGAACCCAGTCCAGCCAGCACCTCTGCAAGTCTCTGTGTGTCCTGTCCTCTGTGCCGTGTATGGGGCAGTCTTGGCTGTGGAGGTCGCCTGGCTCAGAGCAGCCTCAGTGACTCCTGGCGGCTTCTCCCGCTTGCCTACCACCTCCACCTTTGGTTCTCCTCCACATCTATGCTGGGTTCACCCTAGCATAGACTGGACTTGTGCGTGCGTGTTTGCTTGTGTCCACTTGCTTGTGGTTTCTTTGGTGTGTCCTTGACTTCTATCCAGAGTCTCTAAGTTCAATAGCTGGTTTGAAAAAGTCCATCATGACTCCCCCTCCCCCCACTTCTCAGGGTCCCTCGCCCCACTGTTGGCCAGGTCCTGTAATATTGCCCTGTCAATAAATTGTCCCTCTTCCTTACCTTCTGATTTCAGTCTCAAGGAGAAGCTGGGGTCCGCAGGCCCAGGAGTATCAAGAACAAAAGCAGCGGTCCTCCGGCAAAGATGGTCACCAAGGGAGCAAATCCAGTGACTCCGGTGAAGAGGCAGAAAAAGAGTTTATTTTTGTGTAATGGTGCCCACCCCAAGCCTTCCCATGCAGGGTGCTCTCCTCAGCCCTCAGAGAGGAGCCGCGGGCAGTGCGTCTTCTCCCTTCTCTGGTGCTTTCTTCTTTCTCTCCTTTCCTTCTTTTTCTAAGAAAAAGATATAAAAAGTCCACTTTTTGGTTCTCAAAGCACATTTTTGGTCTCACTCCATTCTCAGCATTTGTTTTCCAAACGTTGTTTCTTATGCCTTCAACAAAAAGCCAGCAATTATTCCACGGGCCCTACTTGAATTTCTCTGAGGCAGCTACACATTGCCCTGCATGGTGTGGTTTTCGGAAGTTAATGAAGTAACTGGACTCCCACCCGAGTAACCATCCAGGAAACCCTGGGGTACTGCAGGGTGTTTTTGTGTCAGATCCACACATGACTCGATATAGCAATTTATTCTTGATGTATGCGATTGCACATTGTAATTATATTAACAGAGCACACTAATAAATAATTTGTATAAATTATATATATTAGATCTCGGGCATTGTTCTTACATTCTTCTTGGGGGGAGCACTGCCTCCCCTGTGGAGAATTGTACATTTAAAGCTTGGCTGGTAGCCTTTGCAGACCATCGGCAAGCGCAGCGAAGAACAGAGTGTGAGCAGCCCGGATTCATGTATATAGTTGATTGGAATGAGGTCTTATGAATATTCTTGTTTTTGAAGGCCTTTAATTTCTGTCTGCCTATTAGCTTTTAATGTGTGGTTTTTAAGAGAAAGTTTTGGCACCTGTAAAAAAAAAAGATGTCTAAATACTACTCTTTATAAAACATCTCACAAATATTCACTTACATTACAGGCTGAAAATATTTTATTCATATGTATATTTATACCAATAAAATGATTTTCCAAGTGGAGTTTTTCCTTCCTCCAGTTCTTTTGTTAGGCCCGGCGTGTGTAGTGAGGCTGCGGCTAGGTCTCTAAAATGGTAGAATAGTCACAGTACACAGATAATCATATCATCTAGAAATCATTACTTTCAACGTAAATATAATTTGATAATTCCATGGTCTGCTCTTGCCACCGGAGCACAGATGGAATTTACTAGAAGGTCACAGAATTCTTTGTGTGCTCCGTACCCAGCCCCATGAGTTTAAGGTCATGGGAGGGGTGCTGGCTTGAGTCGGACGGGGCTGGTGTGATGTTGCTGTTTACTTTTTCCCCTCCCTTTTGCCACCCCTGAGTGGCTGGTCTGAGAGTGAATTCCAGTCCTAAAGGCAGGACCACTTGCTATCATATGACCTCATGGCAACAGATATAAAAGACTATTCTCTTTAGGTGTGGCACCAAAGTTGGAGAAGAATAAGACAGAAACAGGCATGGAACTGCAGACTGTTGGGCAGGAGACCCACAGCCCAGCTAAGCACACACTTGGAATAAGCAGCACCATTGAAGGTGTCGCTCTCCCCCCCCCCCCCATCCTCCAGGATGTTCTGGAAGTCTCAGAAAGTGATATTTGTACAAGGCTTTGAATGGATCCCTTCATAAGTACAGGGGCTGTGCCTGATTCTTAAGAATATTTTTTTTTAAGCTTGAGGACAGTTTTATTATTCTTTAAAAGAAAAGTCACAAAGCAAGGAGGCTGACCATATCGACAGCTGCCACAGGAGGGAGATAGAGAAGAAAGACATTCTTTTGACTTTGACATGGAGGCTCAGCAAGCGGCTGCCTGGCAAAAGGGAGGTAGCTTCAGAGAAACTGTGGAAAAGTCCCAAGTATCAGAGGAAGCATGCATAGGCTCAGGCCAACCACCTGAAGGAAAAGGCAAGTTGTCGCATCTTCCTGAGTGAAGACTCGAGAAGGCAGGCAGACAAAACCAAACCTCCTGGTGGCTCCACAGTAGCTCTGTCCACTCCCTCAAAGCGTATGTGGCCTCAGATTGTGTCACGGGGAGTAGTGGGGTGGTCACAAAGTGCTGCTGTCCGTGGTGATCAGATTCATATTCACTTAGAATCTTACGTGGCACAGTGTATCCCTGCTGCCCATTACACGCTTGTGGTTTCAGTGTGGAAGGCCAGGCTGTGAATAGCCTTAGTGTTTGATCAAGGCCCCTGGAGCTTACCTCTGCAACAAGAGCCACTGTGTTTTCAGACAGTGATGTGGTCAGAGCAAAAAGCTGTAACCCTTGGAACTGCAGGCAAGGATGGAGAGAAACAGAAAAGTAAGAACTGTTTTGTCCTTCTGATTATCCCTAAGGTTACATGCTGACATGTCAGGCTGACAGCCCCCAGCTTGGCTGAGGTGGCCATCCGAAGGGCAGCCCTTACTCATAAGCCCTCTACTGTCCCGGCCTGGACTTTTTTAGATTTGCCCTGGATGTCTGTCTACTCAAGTCTCCATTGCTCCCTCCCAGGCTCCTTTAAAAAAAAATTATTTATTTTTTATGTATACAATATTTTGTCTGTGTGTGTATGCCTTCAGGCCAGAAGAGGGCACCAGATCCCATTACAGATGGTTGTGAGCCACCATGTAGTTGCTGGGAATTGAACTCAGGAGCTTTGGAAGAGCAGGCAATGCTCTTAACCTCTGAGCCATCTCTCCAGCCCCCCTCCCAGGCTCCTTTCACAGCGATTTTCAGCCTGTAAATGTGAACCACAAGTATCTCCTGCCTCCTGTTCCCTGCATTGCGATGCGTTAAGGAGTGGTTCTCAACCTTCATAATGCTGTGGTGACTCTTTAATGCAGTTCCTCATGTCGTGCTGAACCCCCTCTTCATTGCTACATCCTACCTATAATTTTGCTACTATTAATGAATCATAATGCATATTTTTGGAGACAGAGGTTTGCCAAAGGGGTTGCGACCCCCAGGTTGAGAACCACTGCTTTACAGGCTTGCCCAGAAGTAAATCTGCAGGTTCATCCCCTTTCAACATCTGCTCTTCATAGAGTATAAACTGATACATTCCTCCATTCCTGTCACCTTTTATCGATCCCACAGAGTATGGGGGGAATGGCCACTCTGTAGGACCTGTGATCAGGTGCCACTTGCCTTCATTCCAGTGAAGTGAAGCAGCTGTCTCCAGTTGGAAACATGATGGGGGCAACTGCTCAGAGAGCAACAGTCCTCAGCTGCAAGACCCTGATCGGGAGGCTGGAGGACAGCAGAGCCCTACAATCCAAAGATTCCAGTATGTCGGTGAAGGGCTTGCCGAGGGCTCTGATGAGGTTCCGGCACTCTAGGCAGAGTGGGGTTTCCTACAGGTCCAAGGAAAGGTCCACATGACTCATGAACGGCCCATAGCATGGCCCTGCACTGAGGTTGTTCCTTGGTGGCAGGCAGAGAGAAACAGAGTCCTGAACGGGAGAATTCGTGACTGAAGATACGAAGGAAGAAAGGAAGGTGAGCACATTGCCGTGCCCCGCTAGACAGCTGGCTCTCTGCCCTCTGGAGTCAGGCAGTCTGGGCCTATACATTTCCTTGGGACAATGAAAATGGCAGCAGCCATTCTGCAGCCCAGGTGCCACAGATTCTGGGTCAGGCTCTTGGTAGGGAGCTTGTCCCTTTGTCATTTCTCCATACCAACAGCAGGACAGAGCTGCAGGGAGCCCGAGGAGCAGTCTGGTCTGTAGTCTGACACCTCTCTATGTGTTTTAAGCCCAGAACCCAGGCTTTAGCCAAAGAGCTAAAGCAGAAAAGGCAGCAATGACAAGGAGCTCCACAGTGTTCTGTTTGCCCCATTGTCAACAGTGTCGCATTTCCTGTCAGTGCTGGCGTTAGGCCAGGTGTGGTAGCCCACTCCAGTGATTCCAGTACTCAGGAAGTCAAGGCCAGGGATTGGGAGTTCAAGGTCATCCTCAACTTCACAGTGAATTTGAGCTAACCTGAGCTACAATAAGCTCCCTACCACCACCCCGGCTCAGAAAAAAATAACAAAAGAAATTTCTCAAAATCAGAAGCAATAGATTGTGTTGCCCAAGGGCACTGCTCTTGCTGCCCATGGGCTGGTGTCAGATTTT